CCTATCAGGCCACGACAAAGCAGGGAAGGGGGTCTTCCCCAGCCCCCAATAGTCAGGGTCAGGGCAGCCACCTCCGGGCTGATGTCACAGCAGGCCTCCAGCCAGAGCCCAAGTCTGTTTTCATTCCTGCTCCATGAGACAGGAATAATTAATGAGAAACAGAGAAGGGCAGAGAGGCAAAGCGGAGGGACAGAGCTGCTTGCCTGTCAGACCGCCCCCTCCCCCAAGGTGGAACCCTGTACCATTCCTGGACTGTACTCCTGACAAGGGCCTTCAGCACCTGGGCGCCCAGCTCTCCTCCTCCCTCTCCACTCCATTCTCTGAAGAAGGAAAGCTGAGGCAGCCCTTGCCCATGTGTGCAGAGCTCCCCCCCTTGGGGGGAGAGTGTCACTCTGAAGTGGCCCAGGTGAAACACTTCTAGTTTCCCTTAGGCTCCTTTCCAAGCTATCCTGTAGTGGGAAGAACACAGAATCGTGGGTAGGTTAGGTCTGATTCAGATCTTGGCTTTGCCATTGACTGGCTCTGTGACCTCAGCCAAGCCATGTCATCTCTCTGAGCTCTTCTGTAGAATGGGGATAGAAGGCATCAGGTGCTCAGAAACGCTTGTAGATAAATGTGCCTTGCAGCAGGGAACAGGTAGAGTAGAGGGCTACAGAAGTAGCAATGGAGAGGGTGCCCAGGTAGAGTTGTAGAACTGCTGGGACCAGGTGCCCAAGACTAGTCTTCTGGGCTGTGAGAAGTGAAAGGCCCAGCTGGGGAGGAATTATGGGAGAGGGGGAAGTCTTGGTCAATGTCATTTGTCCATGACCCTGTTGCTTCCTCATCCTGAGTTGGAATGTCCTGTGTGCCCCTGGACTGCCCTGCTCTTACCTGGCACAGGACCTTTGCATATACTGCTCCCTTCTCCCCTCTTGCCAACTGCAAACAGCCTCCAAGGCTTAATTCAAGTCACCTTCTGTGGCAACCTTCTTTGATGGAATTCCCAGCCCAGGTCCCTTCCTTCCAGCCCCTGGTGCTTACCTAGCTGTAGCACTTACCTCACCACATTGTATTAGTTGATTTATATATCAGTGTCCCCCTCTGAGCTGTGTGTACCTTGAGGAAGTGGGAGCTGTAACCGGTTCATCCCCACACCCTCAGCTCCATACACTCGGACTGGCATATGGAAGAGCCCAATGAAGGTATGTTGAATAAATGGAGGGAGGAAGGGAGGGAGGGAAGGAGGAAGGGAGGGAAGATATACTCAGGGTCAGACACCAAAAGGCTAAATAAAGGGACCTGGATAGTAATGGGGGTCCCAGCTTCCTCTGCTGGGCATCAGATAACTGGTTAGAGGACCCCTGGCCTTGTCCTAGACTGGCTCAGGTCACTAAAGCTGTGATTTTATCCTGCACCCATAACATTTACTTTGCCTTGTAATTATATACATTTCTTTGCATGATTATTTGAAGAGCATCTATGTTCCTATTAGACTAAGCTCTTTGAAGCAGCATCTGTCTTTGCTCTTGTTCATCACAATATCCTAGTGCCCAACACAATGCCCGACACATAGCAAATATCCAGTGAATATTTGAAAAATGAATGAATATTGGAGGGAAGGAATCCCCTCCCCCACCCCCAAACAGACCCAGGATCAGGGCACTAAGGGGATAAATTGCAGAAACCATGGTCCCTCGGTTCCTTGGCAAGTTGCTGCATTCTCTACCCCTTAATAAGCTTCGTCACCCTCACCCTCACTGCCATCAAACCACCCAGGCCCCAGCAGCCCTATCCCAGGAAGTGGGCCAGTGCCTGGGCTAAGCCTGCAGCATAATGTCCAGCATCCCCGTGGCTGAAACAGGGTTGGTGGATTTCCCCCCGTGCCTTGGTTTCCCCCCTGCTATGCCACCAAGCACTACTCAGCATTTTCCTATCTGTTCTTATGTTTTATTCAAACGTCATACTAATAAAAATGGTAGCTGACATTTTTGAGTACTTACTATGATCCCAGCACACACTTTACATGTATTAACTGATTTAATGTTTGCAACAATCTCATGAGGTAGAAATGATTACTACACCTTTTTATAGATGAGGACATCCAGGCACAGAGAGGTCAACCTGCCCAAGGTCAAAGACTAGGAAGCTGGGCTTTGACCCCAGGTCTGCCTATACTCTAAATCTGCAGCCATTCCCACTGCACTACCCCAGTCACCCCAGATCTCCGGGTTCTAATCCAGGGTCTGGCCACCCAGACTTAGATCCAACAACTGCTGTCCAGGGAACTCTCCCTGGGGTCATCCTGGAGGAGGGGGATACTGTCAGGGGCTGAGCACAGTCTAGAGCAGCTTACTCTCTCTACTTATCCCTACTCTCTGTGTTCAGGCACAGAGAGAGGCACGAAATGTGTCATTTGGGGCTGCAACTCCCTCTCTGGGGCAGATGGCATGAGGGAGGTGAGGGGAAGCTGCCGGTACCCCAGGGCTAACACTTCCCCCCAGCCCCCATCCCACTGGCTTCCCTTTTTAAGCACTAACTTGGGAGATCTAATTTTCTGCCCCCAGGAATGTGTAATTAATTAACGAAGACTGTAACCAGATTAAGACCTCACTACCTCTCATTCCTCACCTGGCCGCAGGAAAGCCAGACCCCTCCGGAGTACCCTCATCCTTCCTATGCCCTATCCCCATCCCTCTTTACCCAACTGCTCCTGGGTCTGAGGACTCATCCCAGCCCCCAGTGAGACAGACACAGGTTAGCAGGGTTAGGTGGCCCAGGTGGGAATGCACTGGGGGGGAGGAGCCTTCCAGGAAGGGGGATGGCTTTTGTCCTTCCTTCTCGGCATCCCTTCCCCCACCTCTTTTCAGTCGTGGGAAGCTCTTATGGTGTGTGAGTTGGGAGATGGGGCCAGGGAGGATCTTGTAACAGGACGTGAGAACCTGGGTAAGGGAGGTGACTCGGGGACATAGCGTGCATGCAGGGGAGTACAGATCTGATCACACGTGAAGGGAGGTATGTGCCCTGTGCTGCACAGGGCACATCCAACAGAGTACCTTATGCACCCCGATTGCTGAGCTCCAGACGCCCCTTGAAATCTTCAGCCTGGAGCGCACACACCAAGTGTCCCTTCATTGTGCGGCTCCCAACCCCCTACCCCATCCCCCCCACCAGCCCCGCCCCCGGCGCTCAGCGCCCAACTGTCCCGCTCCCTCTGCCTACCCAGTAGGCGGCGATGCCTTACCTCTTCGTGCGGAGCCCCCAGCCCAGACTCCCGCTAAAATGATTAGAGTGAAGGAATAAGTTAGGGGGTCACTCCAGGAGACGCGGGCCACGAACCCTCCCCCATTCCGCAGCCTCGGGAGTAGGAAGTGGACACTTGAGCAGGAGCTTGGAACGCCCCCTCCCCTTTATCTGAGCCCTCAGCCCGGGAATGCGGCGCAGGTTGTGCAGGACGCCACTCAGCACCGCGTCCCCTCCCCTGGCCGCCCGCCACACCTCGCGCCGTTGACAGCGGCGGCGCCTGGGCCCAAGGCGGCCTCGGGGCCCCGCATCGTCCCTTCGAGCCCCCGCCCTCAGCAGAGTCCGCAGCCAGGGAAGAAAGGAGGGCTCGGTGGAGGAGCTCCGTCCCACCCGATCCCCGGTCCCCGGGTCCTCCCCCACCCCCACCCGCCTCCTGCCCCACCCCCTCGGGTCCGCCCCTCCCCCTCTGCAGCGCTGCTGGGCTCCGTGGGGGGAATGCTAAGGAGCGGCGCGGCGGGAGAAGCCCCAGAGCCCCAGAGCCCCAGAGCGGGAGCGCGCGGCGAGGGGCAGAGCGGGCCCCGGAGCCGGCACCGCGCGACAGCCGCGCCCCTGACCCTCTCCCCGCCAGGTTTTGAGCCGGCGGGCCGAAACCCTCCACCTCCGCCTTAGACCAACTCCATTCCCGCCGTCCTGGCCTGCCTCCCGGGGCCGGTCCCCTGCACCTGAAATAGCCGCCTGGGCCTCCCCCTAGCTGCAGCATCGCCTCCCCCTAGCTACTGCCCCCACTTAGAATTCCTCTACGGAGCTCTGCCCTGCCTGGAAAGATGTGCGAGATCTGTGAGGCTTTGTCCACACTCCCTCCCGGGTCCAGCCAGACCCGGATGGGCAGATTCTTTAGAAACCTGTTCCATGCCCCACCAAGGTTTATTGCCCAAGGTTCCCTCCTTCTGACACTGGGAAAGTGACTGCACACACCTCCCACCCCGCCTCCCTGCGTGTGTCTGCATCTATGGGGCCTCTGAGCCCCACGCCCACTCCACCCCCTTTCTCCTTTGACATTTATTTCCAGAAGCTGTTTTCCTAACCCTCTCCCTGGTTCTGGTTATTTATCCTCTGAACCTTTCAAGTGTGCAGGCAGTCTCTGGGTGGGAATCCCAGCCTCGGGCCTCACTTACTGGCTCAGCGACTTTGGGCAAGTTACTTAACCTCTCCCTTTCCTCCTCTGTAAAAAAGAGATAAAAATACTTCCTTCCCTGGCTGGGTTGTTGTGAGATTAAATAAGATCCGTGTATAAATGGAGCGGTTTAGCCCAGTGCCAGGAGCATAGTAATCGTTCAGTAAAGAGGAGCCACACTTCTCCACTGACACTTGCTGAAAGGAGCTGGCCTCTGCATCCGAACACCAGTGGGTTCTCATCCCCTTTGTCCAGGGCCATGTGACCCTGGGAGCTGACCAACTCCCTCTACCCCCAGCCCCCTCAGAGACAATGGGTGTGAAACACCATCCGTAAAACACCTTCCAGACTCCGACAGCCCCTGGGAAGGCCTGGGCCTTAGAAAGAAGGAGCTCTGGGGTAGTTTCCTCTCTACTGTTACTGCCCCACTTCCAAGAAGTTAGATGCAGCAAGGCTGAAGCATAAAAGGGAAGTTGTACTTGGAGAGGCTTGCATCTGGCCTCCCAATGACTCCTGGGAATTCTGAAGGGCTGGTGCTGAGGGACTGTGAACTCGAGGGCATCAGGGAACCCTGCCTTGGGAGGTCGAATGAGAAGGGGCAAAAGAATCATCTTATTGCCTTTATTTCGCTGACGGCCCAGCTGGCCCCACGGCAGGGCAGAGCGCCAAGCTCTCACCCATACTCTCTGTGCAGGCCAGTGCGTACACGTACACACGTACACACACACACACACACACACACACACACTCACTCACATCCGACCTCTGGCTCTGAGAGTCAGTCTCTGGGGGGCAAGGGGTTGCTCCTCAGCCTGCCCCTGCCTGCCCTTTTATGACAGCACCAAGGGCGGGGGTGGGGCAGGGCCCTCAGCCCCCAGAACAAGTCCCTGTGCAAACTGGAGGGGCCAGCTGGCTTCGGGATGGGGGTGTCACATTTCCCCATTCCCGGAGTTCCCTCCTCCAGTTCCTGAGGGAGGGACTGCTCTCTGCCCACCTGGGGGTCCAGACCCCTGCCAGGGCTGGGCCCTATGGAACCCAGGTTTATTCCCCACCTGACCGCGCCAGGACCTCCAGCACTGAAGAACAGCCAAGTCTGAGGTGGTGGGGATCCCCCACTGGAGAACAGGAAGGCCGGGGCCCCGAGGGGCTTGGGAGGGGTCATCAACCCCCTCTCCTAATCCATCTTCAATATGAAGAGGTTTGGGGCAAACTTCCTGGGGAGGGAGCACAGGCCTGGAGGAGAAGTCCTAGCTTGGGCCTTCCCCAGACTTCCATCTTCTGGGCCACAGCCGAAGGCCAGACATCCCAAAGTCCCGAAGTCCAGCCAGCTGGTCAGAGTCCCTGCACAGTCCTTGGAGGGCACCCATCCAGTGGGAGCTGGGTGTCAGACCTGCACAGGCAGCGTCTGGTTCATCTGCAGCCGCATGTCCTGGATACTGCTGAGGATCTTCTTCTGGTGGCCCGCCAAGGTGACCCCGATCCGGAGCAGGTCTCTGCAGACGGGCCAAGGGCACAGTCAGTCCCTCCCCGACTGCCCACCACTCTGGGCCCAGCTCAGGGCCCCCAGCCCTGCCCCTCCAAATGGGAGGCACACTCACTCTGCGGTCATCTGGGCCACCAGGTCAAAGGATGCAAACCCCGCACTGACAAAGCTCTCCTTGTACCGCCCCATCTTGATGGCATCTAGCCAGTCACCAACTGTCGTGAAGGTCGTGTAGTCTGGGACCGTGCGGTCCAGGAGGGGCTGTGACATGCTGTGGGGAGAAGAGAGGGACTTGATGAGTCCTGACGTCAGGGGAAGCAGGGGTGGTGCTGCTGGCTCGGGAGCAGGGCAGGGGCAGAGGCAGAGGAACTGACCCAGACTGGGCACTGGCGATGACCTTAAGGCTGGCGGCGTTGCGGATGAGCTTGTCCAGGGTGTTGACGATCTGGGAGAATTTGGGCCTGAGGTTCCGGTCCCGCACCCAGCAGTCCAGCATGAGCTGGTGCAGTGCTGTGGGGCAGTCCATGGGTGGGGGCAGCCGGTAATCCTGCTCCACGGCATTGATGACCTGAGCCAAGAGCAGGGAACCCTGGAGTAAGCCACCACTCTGCTCCCCAGCCAGTTCCCACCCACCCGAGCGCTCTGGCTGGCCCCACTCACATCCTGGTTGCTCATGTCCCAGTAGGGTCGCTCGCCATAGCTCATGACCTCCCACATGACGATTCCATAGCTCCAAACGTCACTAGCAGAGGTGAACTTCCGATAGGCTATAGCCTCTGGGGCGGTCCAGCGAATGGGGATCTTCCCGCCCTGGTGGGGGGGGCACACGCCCTTCACCCTATGTCTCCGGGCTGATCCCCAGCCCCGAGCCCCTGCCTGGTTGGCCCCGCCCCCAGTCTCCCTCCCGGCGGCTTCCTGTACCAGGGAGCTGGTGTAGGTAGGATCAGAGGGATCATCCTCCAGGAAGCGGGAGAGGCCAAAGTCTGAGACTTTGCAGACCAGGTTGCTGTTGACAAGGATGTTGCGGGCAGCCAGGTCTCGGTGCACGTAGTTCATCTCAGACAGGTACTTCATGCCGGCAGCAATGCCCCGCAACATGCCCACCAGCTGGATGACCGTGAACTGTCCGTCGTTGAGCTGGAGGCAACAAGCAGGCTCAAGGGGGTGCCCATTGCCTCCTGCCTGGCCCCAGGCCCACCCGAGACCCTCCTGCCTGCCCGCCTGCCCACCCTCTCCAAGTCCTCCAAGACCATGCCTCATCTACCCCTCTGACCATGTCCACCGTGCACTGAGAGTAAGGAAGCTGCCCTCCTGTGTGGCCGGCATCTGTATATATCAACCCAATTAACCCCTGTGAGGACCCAAATAACTTACCATTCTCATTTTACAACCAAGGCAGCTGAGACTCAGAGAGGTTAAGTAAGGCCTGAGGTCACACAGGCAGTAGGGGGTGGGCAGAGTCCGGATGAGAACTCTGGTCTTTCTGGCTCTGAAGGCCCAGCTCTTTCCCTGCACCATGCCACCTCAGTAAATGTTTGGACTTGAATAGTGTCTGCCTGACTTGTGGGAGGGGGTGGTTTGCCCAACCTAGCTCTCTGGGGGGGTGGGGGGAGGAAGAGGGGGAGGGGCCAGGGGCTGGCTCTTACCCGGAGGAAGGAGTCCAGGGCACAGTTCTCCATGAACTCAGTAAGGATCATGACCGGCCGACTTTTGGTGACCACGCCCTCCAACCGGATGATGTTGGGATGGTCAAACTGACCCATGATGGAGGCCTCGCTGAGGAAGTCCCGCCGCTGCCTCTCTGTGTAGCCCACCTTGAGCGTCTTGATGGCCACAAACACTTCCCGGCGGCCAGGCTGTTTTAGCCGACCCCGGCACACTTCCCCGAACTCCCCTGCAGGGCACAGGGCACAGATAGTAAGCTATTTCTGTACCCAACCACCTCTGCCCTCCCTCGGGGTCACCACCAGCCTCTCCTCCCCACCGTGCCCCAGGGGACTCACCAGCTCCAATCACCTCCTCGATCTTGACACAGGACACATCGATCTCCTTGGCAAACTCCCGCACAGCCTCATTAGGGTCTTCGTAGGTAAAAGGGTCGATATAAACCTTCATTCCAGGAGCAACTAAGGAAGAAAAGGTGGGTGTGAGAGGGGGTGAGATCCTTGAGCTGGGGACAGTGAGGGAACTCTGCGACCCGGGATACTGCCCCAGGCTCTTCCCCCAGACAGGAACACATTCCCAGCCTCTCTGCTAAACCTGCTCCGTATTCCTCTGTTGAAGCCAGAACTTGCCCCTCCCCACCCCGCCACTGTCCTCTTGGTGAGAACTAGTAACCATGACGGCTAGACACCTAGGATTCTTCTTCTTTCTCCCTCATCTCTCATCGTGTCAAAACCTATTTCAGATCCGTCCCTCTCCTCATTCCCACTGCCCCCGACCTTGTCTAGGCCATCAACACTCAGACTACTGCAATAGCCTCCCAGCTGGGCTCTCTGCCTCTAGACTTTGCTCACCAATCTAGCCCACATACCTGTCTTCCTACAACAATACTTTCATTGTATTGCTCCCCAGCTTGAGAGCCTTTCAGATTACCAGTGGTGCAGTCAAGTCCCAACTCCTCTGCCTGCCTTTCAGGACCCTCCAAGGACTGGCCGCAACTACCCAGCCTGGCTTCCCAGCAGCTGTCAAACCAGCCTTCTCACTGGCCCCCCTGTCGGGCACTCTCCCCACCCCACCCACTACCTTCCAGAGGCTCCTCTAGCCAGGAATGCTCTCCCCCACCTCTCTAAACCCTGCTTATCCCACCTGGCTCAGCTCAGCCCAAGGCTACGTCCTCCAGGAAGCCTTCCTCTTTTCTGAACTCTCACTGCCCTCTGTCCCAGGAACACCCGGCTTAACACTTAATTGTTCTCTCATTGTTTCCTGTGTATACCTATGTCATCTTTCTTACAAGACTGACTACCCCTGAGGACAGGGGTCACATCTCACTCATCTCTGGGGCTAGCAGGCGTGAGGTAGGGGCTCAGGAAGTGGCACTTAATTGGAAGCAGGAGGGGGCAGCCAGGGCAGGAGTTAAAGGAATAAAGTCCCAGACAGGGAAAGGGGTGCCTCCAAGCCCTGCAGGGATGAAGGGAGCTTTGGGAGGTTGGGATGAGGAAGGAAACTCACTGTATTGCTGCAGCTTCTCCGTGTACTCTGAATCAGAGCTGTGCCGCTGCTTCCTGGAGGGGCAGGGTGGAGGGTAGGCATGAGACAAGTCCGCAGCTCCTTCCCTTCAGGGGACCCTTGGGCTCACAGGAGGGGCAGAGAGCATAGGGGACCACCCAGTGCCTGGTGCTATGGTCAGTGGCTACAGCTGCCACTGGGTCTCCGGGCAAGAGGCTCAGTGGACTTGGTCCCTGAGGGAATCTGCCAGTAGATTCAGGGGACAGGGAGGGGACAGGACGAGGACACAGGCATGGACTGGAGAGAGGCTTTCCGACAAGGATAGCCTGGGCCTAGGAAGGCTGTGGTTCTAGGTCTGACGTGGGTGATGGTTCACCTATGTGGCGAGAGGGTTCTAGGGCACTAAAGGGAGGCTCAAGTCAGCCCCTGGGCCTGGGAGTACCTGAGGCAGACGACAGCAATGACCACAACAGCTACCACGAAGACAAGCCCAGCTGTGGCAGAGCCCACAATGAGGGGGAGCTGCTCCTGGAGCTGCTGGGCACCAGAGCCTAGAGACGGGGAGGGACAGGTGAGTGGTGGGGTGGAAAGTGTGGCAGGGGCAGGGACGGGTGTGTGGCGGTGTGTACCTCTCTCACTTGTGGTATCAAACTCAGCCGGGTGGCTGTACTGCCCGTAGCCAGCTACGGTGCGGGCGCGGACCTGGACCACGTAGCGGGCGTCAGGCCGCAGCCCGTCCAGCTGCACGGAGTTCTTCTGGCTGGTCACTGTGGAGGCGATGCCCTCACTCTGCAATACCAGGAGGAAGGCTATGTCTCAGTGGGCCCTGACGCCCATCGGCCCCTGCCCACCCCCCACTCAGTACCCAAGGCTTTGCTCTCAAGGGCCCCTGGCACTATCTGGGGTAATCTTCTTGTCCCAAGGCTTCCTCCTGCCCCTGGAGGCTCTGACCTTCTCAAAGTACTTCATCTCGTAGTCCAGGATGACTCCGTTGGGCCGCTCTGGGGGCGCCCAGGACAAGGTCAGGCTGCTTCCGGAGCTGCTGTGCAGGTGTAGTGTTGGCACTTCAGACGGGGCTAGGGGAAGAGCGGGGGGCTCATCACGGGCCCTGGCACCCTTCCCAAGCACCCAGTTCCCCTGGGACCCCCGATGATCTGTGCCGCAGGCAACCCCAGCTCTATGTGGGGAGATGACCCAGGCCCTACCCTCCTGTGTGCCCTCCTCACCAGCCTGGTTGGTGGTGATATTCACAGCCGCGTAGCGGGGGGGCAAAGGGCTCTTGCCCGAGACACCGTTGACGGCCTGCACCTCAAAGGTGTAGCGCGTGTGGGCCAACAGATGGCTGATGTGGACCCGGCGTTCTGTGAGGCCCAACTGCCGAGGCACAAACTCCACGTTGTCATCACAGCGTGAGCAGGTCATGGTGCCCCCGGCCCCAAGGCCCCCATGGCACTTCTTGCAGATGACATTGTATAGGAGGTCGTCCCGGCCACCCAGGTCCCGGGGCTCACTCCACTCGAGGATCAGCGAGGTCTCATTCACATTGGAGATCACACCCCGGGGCGGAGACGGCACCGCTGTGGGAATGGTGGAAGAAGAGGACAGTGAGCTAGGGCCCTAGCACCGTCTGTGCAGAGTTCCTGCACACTCCAAGCTGCTTCCTACCTCCTTGCCTTTGCCTCTGCTTTAATAAGCGGAATACCTTTCCTATACTTCTTCACTGGGCACACTCCTATTTATTTGGCCTTTAAGGCTCAACTTGAGAGGTCACCTCCTCTTGGAAACCTTCCTTGATTCATTCTCTTCCCGTCCTCTGCATTCCTGTAACAATTCCTGGGCATCCCTCCAGCCCAGCACTTAGCACATTATATGGTCATTATCTGTTTCCACATCTGTTTCTCCCACCAGGTTGCAAGCTCCTAGAACAGTGACTGTATCTTTTCCTCCACATCCCTGGCGCCTGGCAATTCCTGGCACTAAAGGCTGAAGCAGGGAAAAAGCAGGACACCAGGCTGCCCCAGGGTTGTGAGGTCCCCTCTCTGGTTAGAGTTGGGCCAAAAGAATAGCAGTTCTAGACAGAGGAAAGAGTAATGGACTAGAGAGTCCTAGCCAGTTTCTGATACCCAGCGAGGAGCTAACAAATGCTTATTAAATGTTGGTGCAAGGGCTAAGCCTTTCAGCTCACCTGGATTCTGGCTCAGGGCCGGTCACTTCCTACCTGTGCCATGTTGAACACAACATCTAAGCCCCCTGAGCCTCAGTTATCCTATCTGGAAAGTGGAGCTATTCATAGAGACTGTTTGGGCACCCCCGGGCTGGCCCGCAGAGGGAAGGCCTGGAGTGGGAGAGTATGAGGACGCGCTCACTCACTGGTACAGGCACTGTCTGCGGAGTCGGAGTCTGCGCGGTAGAAGTTACTGTGGCAGGTGCAGATGCTGGAGGCTGGCGAGGTGGTGCGGCTGTTGGGCGGGCAGGGCAGGCAGGGCCCCTCTCCCTGCTTTGCCTTGTAGCTCCCAGGCGGACAGGCTGGGGGGGAGAAGAGGATGGACGTCTCACCTCTATCCCTGCAGACACCAACCCGCCACACCTCTGCGGGAATCTGGCCCTTCCCAAGCACAGGTCTCGGTCCCCCACCTCCCAGACTGCGGGGGCCGTGCTGGTACTGCCTAAGTCCAGCTGCAGCTACAAAAGGCCCTTTTGCCCCGTGGAAACCCCACGTCAGCGGACTCCTCCCCGCCCCTGCCCTGACCCCGACCCCCAACTCTGGGGCCTCACGGACGAAGACGTCAGCTCCATCACCCGGACAGCCTGGACTTGTCGAGGCAGGGATGAGAGGGAGGAGGAAGAGGAGGGAGGGGGACGGGAAGAGACCATTAGTGGGCTGGCAGCAGCCTCTACTCTGCTGGGGTGCCCCACCCCTCCCTGAAGCTCGAGGATAATTATTCCTGAAGATCCTGAAGAACGCCCCAGAACAGCCAGGAGGTGGGGCCTCTGAGTTTCACAGCCAGCCTCTCTCCCCACCCAGCCAAGAGCAGGGCAGCAGCTCCTTTCTGCCCTGGGGCAGGGGTGGGTGCTGAGGAGGGGTGAGAAAAGGAGAGAAAGAAAGCAGGCAGGAAGGCTGGGGTCACCTGGAGTTCAGAGGCCTCAAAGCATCCACGAGGGGAACCCCAATCCCCAAAGGGAGACCAGAGCTCGGTGCCTGAACACCCCTTCAGAGCCTCTATTTGGGCCTGGCTCTGGAGAGTCCCCATATCTACGATGGCCATATAATTTATTATTCAAACTGCACTATTTTGAGAGTGAAAGCGGGCACTAGTAATAATCACGTTAGCATGACAGGCATAAACCAGGACTGCCCTGGACACACTAAAGCATATGGTCATCCTGCCCATATACAAACTGCCTTTGGGGAGGTCGTCCGGGGTGTTGGGTCTGTGCCCTTCTCTGGGGTTTAATCTCCCTCGACTAAGGTGATATTCCATCCCAGCTCTTTTGAGCCACTGGGAGAGGGGGCAGGGGCCAGGCCAGCCTGGTTGCTATGGGAACCATAGTGCATTTCCTGCTAGGGACCTGCAAAGTGTTAGCCGCTCTTCAGGTTGTCAGGCTCATCACCCCCACCCCTTTCTCCACTTAGGAGGAGGAAGTCTGGGGGCAGGTTCCCATAGAGAAGTGGAGAGGAGCAGGGCAAGGCACTGTTCACCTTCCCACAACAGCACCCGACACTGGGCCTCACAGCCAGGTTGGGCCTCCAGCCCCCTTACACTGAGGGTTGTGCTAACAGCCAGCTCCCACCCCTAGTAGCTTCAGGTTGCAAGTGCCAGGTGGGAGAACAGGGCAGAGGGGACAGAAGACAAGGCCCTCAGCACCTTGGCCTGCATGGTACAGCACTGGATGAGGCTGCAGTCCCAGCTCCCACATTCCCAGCTATGAGGCCTAGAGTGCAGAACCTCTCTGGGCCTTCTTATTGGCTAAACAGGAGACGTAGCTGGAATCTACCTTACAAAGTTGTGGTAAGCCTCAGATGAGAGAACCTCTCGTGAACGGGTGTTATAGCTGGAAAATCTAGCACACCGTGAGATCTTATGAGTCTCGGCAAGCCACACAAGACAGGCCTCCTAACCTCCTCGTATATGAAACCAGGACCAAACAACCCTTGTCCCCCATGCATCCCAGGGCTCCCAAGAGTCACAGCTAACACTTACATGGTGCTGTGCTTCCCCACGTCCCAGGCACTGTTCCAAGGGCTGCCATGCACTGATTCAGTTAAGCCCCACTACAACTCCACGAAGGAATAACCATTAATGTCCCCATTTTGCACATGAGGAAACCGGGGCTCAAAGAGTTAAATAACTTGCCCAAGGTCTCACAGATGGTAAGTGGCAGAGTCAGGACTCAGGACTTCAGAGACTGGGCCCCTAACCTCTGTGCTATAAATACTGCTTCTCAAGATGCAGATGAGACCCCTCAGGTTAAACGGCCAATCACGAGGTGCCTGCAGCTCTGGGTCCCACCTAATACTTGCAGGGTGAAACGTAAACGTGGCACTGGACAAACGGGCATCTCTGCTGGCCTCCCGAGACTCCGAGCACGTTCTTCAGCTGCCTCCTTGTCAAGGATTCTCCATGTCTTCCTTCCTCTCTCTTTAGTTTCATTTTTTTCTCCTGGTATTCTGGTGTCTCTCCTCATTTTCTCTCATCTCCCTCCTTGCACCATGTTTTCTGCACCTGATACCCTTCCTCCCTTTCCTCCCTCTGCCCCAGACCTAAGGCCAGACCCCCCTGTCTGGCAGGTAGGAAGCAGTGGGTAGGGGGCAGCGGGCGGCTGTGGCCCAGACCCTCCCCAGGCCAGTCCCCACTCACGGCGGCATTGGGACTCCTTGGCGGCTGGCTCGTGGCCGGTGGCACAGGTGCAGGCACCCACAGGCACCATCCACTCCCCGTCACCGTTGCAGTAGAGCTTGAGGGGTACCGACACCTCCACGGCATTGGCGATGCAGGTGCCAGGGGCAATGACCAGTGAGGTGGGCTCAGCCCCAGTGAGGGTCTCGGGGAAGAGTGCAAAGCCTGCGGTGGTGGATGCGCACTTCTTGTAGAAGGCACGCACGGAGATGAGCGACATGCAGGCGCCCTGGTCCTGGAAGGCCAAGTAGAAGCCGGCCTTGGAGAGCGGCCCGAAGCTGCGCACCTTGGTGTTGACACGGCCGGCATCGAGCCGCGAGAAGCTCTCATCGGGCGCGATGGTGTCCACCTTCACGTAGGGGTTCTCCATCCAGAAGGGGGAGGAGGCCGAGGCCACGTCGCTGTCAGCCTCATAGTAGAAGAGGTTGAAGGTCTCCTTGCAGGAGCCAGGGATGTTGGGGATGCTGTTGCAGTCACGCACAGTGAACTTGAGCTCCACGTAGACCCGCTGCACGTCCTGCCGCCAGATGAACCCTGTGCGAAGCCAGTTGTTCTGGCTTGACTCGCGCACGTTACACACCTGGTACGTGCGGATGGGGTTCATGGCCTCGTCATAGCCGCTCACCTCTTCCCACTGTGCAAGTGAAAAAGACAGAGAGTAAGCACCGGCATTTGCCGGGTGCTTATCACATGCCCAGATCTGCTATATTTACTTCACAGAGATGCTTCCATGGTGTAGTGGTTGAGCACACAGACTACGTGGGCTCAAATCCCAGTTCTCTGCTTGTGGTGTGACTACAGGTAAGTCACTTAACCTCCCTGTGCCCCCACTTCCCCATCTGTAACATGGTAAGAAGAAGATGTATAAGGAATAAATGACTTTAAATGACTACAGCACTTAGAATGGGGCACTTGGTAAGTACTATGTGAGAATTAGCTATAATGTTTATTATCTTTATGCCTCAATTTCATTGTCTATAAAGTGGGACTGATTGCAAGTAAATGAGGCTGTGAGGAATTAAATCAGTTTAATATATGTAATGGGCTTGCACCAATGCCTGGTACAGACAGAGCAAGCATTCAGTAAACTTTGGTTATCACTATTACCATCACATTTAACCTTCACAGCTCCTTAATAAGGTATTGGGCTGGCCAGAAAGTTCGTTCAGCTTTTTCCGTAACATCTCACGGAAAAACCCAAACAAACTTCTTGGCCTATCCAATACATCTGTTGTCCCCACTCCAGAGGAAAGGAAGTCAAGACTCACAAAGGCAGGGACTTGCCCAAGGTCACAGAGTCAGGTCTGGTGACTAAGGGCCTATAATATCACCCAAATCCAGTGTTCCAGAACTTAGTGCAGTTGTGAAGGACATCTAGGGAGGCTAATTAGAACACTTTAGAGACGTCAGGACTACAGGAATGTAACAGTCAAGAAATGGAGGCCCAGAAAGGCAAACTGTCTTGCTCAAGGTCACACAGCAAGTCAGAGATCTGGAACCAAGGTTTCCTTGTTCCCAAGCACCCAGGAAGGAGGGAGATGGGCAGAACAGACATGCAAAGGGACGTCAGACAGGAGAGGGATGGAAATAGGCTGAAGACAGGCTGGGGGGTGGGCAGAGGGAGAATGAGCCAAAGGTGGTGTGTATGGGGGAGGGGGGACAGAAGCAGGCTGAAGAGTCAGAGATGAAAACACTCACAGAAATGGACCATCGGGCAAAGGAGGAAGGTGACAGATGAAGAGGACGGGGATGCCGCAAGAGGGGGAACTGACAAGCAGTGGGCAGAGGCAGCCCTTCTTGAGCCCTGCTGCAGGGGTTAATTGGCAACCAACACTCAGGAGAAATGGTGGGGAAGTCTTACCCCACTTTCTGGATGAGATGTCCATGCCAACTCAGACGTCACCCATTTTGTATCCATGAGGGTCTCTGGGGGAGCAAAAGGAGAAAAAAGGTCAGGGGCCAAGTTTAGGATGAAGAGAAAGAGGAGGTTGCCCAGGAAAGGCCAGGACGCCAGACATTGATTCCCACCAGGTACTCCCACCCCATCCCCAAGTTCCCCAAACCCTCAGCTCCCCTGTCCCAGAGGAGACCCTGCAGCCACCCCCAGAGATGTCATAGCCCCAAAGATGTCTTGTCCGGCCAGCTGGGAGTGAGTGTCAGCTGCTGACCCCAGGTCTGGGTTAATGAGGCAGAAGCCAGGGCCAGTTCACACACCTACAGGCTCTGCTAATCTCCACACAAAGGGGCTGGCAGGGCCTTTATCCTGGAACAAAGGGCCGTGTGCTTCAGACCCTGTTGCTCAGGCCTCCCCTGACTCCACTCCCAGCACAAAGGCCCAGCTCCACACACGCCCAGAGGAAGGGAAGAGCAGTCACAGGCCAGAGCCCACTCTCACCCAGCCTCCCACAGACCATCTCTGGAGGACAGGACAGGAATGCTCTTTGAGGACGGGGTGAGGGCCACCAAGGCCCAGGCTAGTTCCTCTAGTGCTGGTTCAGCTCTTCCTGCAATCTTTGGATAAAAGTACTGTTGGCGCACCTCTCTCACAGGTGAGGAAACTGATGCCCACATACAGTACATATAGGGCGTAAAGTAAGACTGTTAGGACTTGAGGTGAAAACTTGAAAGGTGACTCAAATTCAGGTCTATCTGATTCCACAACTAACCCCTTAACCAGGGCACTCTGACTGCAATATGCCCCTCTGTAAAGGGGGAACAGAGAAAACCTGGAAAGCTCCTGTGTATACTTTAAGTCCCAACCAAGATGTCATCTCCTCCAGGAAGCCTTCCCTGAACCACCAAGTCAGGGTTGGATGCCTTCCTCTATGCATCCAGGGCCAGGTGCTTTGTCATAGCACCGATCCTGTTCTGAGCTTTGGATTTTTTTATCTGTTTCCTTTTGCTTGGCCACAGGAGGCGCCTATTAATGTTTCTGACTTAAACTTGCTCCCCTAGGAACCTGGATCGTGGGTTCTGGCTTGAAAACTCTCCTGACAGTGTGACCCCAACATTAGACCTAGGAGCAGAAAAGAGGCCCGAAGTCCTTTCCCATAGCCTGGAAGACAGCCAGCAGTTCTCCCCTCAACTCCAACCTGGAATGGGGCAGGGCCGCCCCAGAACTTCTGAAGGCCTCTACCTCAACAATGGGGCAGGCTGGAGGTATCCAGGAAGGGAAAGACCCAAACCCCACAGGCTCCAGGCTTTCGGCCTTCGCCAGTTTCCTGCAGTCTGGGTCTGAGCCTAGGATGGTGGATGAGGCAGCTGTGGCCCCAGGCCCTCATGTGAGGCAAAGGGAGCAGCGAGCAGCAGCCATTCACTTTGGGGAGTGAGGTTCCCTCGTCTTCCTGCAGCAGCAGCTGGTCCCTGGAGGGCCCGGCTGCAGGATGCGCTATCCCAGCTTCATCGTCGGTGGCCTGACAGGCCCCTCTGGCAGACAGACAGACACAGACATTTAGCAGGGGGGTAGAGGGATACGGAAGGGAAGACGGGATGGGCAGAAGCAGGGGCCCCAGAAACAGGCAGGGAGGAAGACAGGCGGGCGGAGCAGGCGGATGGTGGGCGGCACCGAACTGGAGGGATGTGCGGAGCCGGCTGGCTAGGACCAGACAGCCAGGATGGCCGGCGGTGGACTACAAAAGACAGCGAGATGGAGAGACAAGGAGGCCCCAGGAGACAGACACAGAGACAGAGAGGGAGGCTGCCAAGTAGCCTCTTCGCTAGCCAGCGGCCCAGAGTACCGCTGTCCCTGGGAGCCGTGGAGCCAAGCGCGCCCCCTCCCCCCAGCCAGTCCGCCTGCTTGTCTGCCCGCCGCCCGCCGCCGAGCAGGCCAGGGCTCCCACCGCTCCCTCGCGCTGCCTCCCTCCTCCATCTCCCTCACTTCCTTCTGCTCAGCCAGCGCCAAACCCATCTGGAACTGTTTAAACCCAAATATTCAGCCCCTCCCCCCTCCAGCCAGATTCCTCCGCAGTTTAAAACAAGCCCTGCGCCGGCTCGGAGAGGAGTGGGGGGAGGGGGCGGGGGGGGTTGGTGGGGTAGGATCTTCGTTTCTGTTTAATTTCTGGGGAGCGAGAGAGGGAGGGGGCGGGGATCGGCCCTCGGCCATCGCTCAGCCTTGGCCATCGCTCAATCTCGGCACATTTTTCCCATTAATGAGGAGAGGACTTAGATTTCGAGTCATGTGTGCCTGAGGAAGGGCTCGGTCACCCTGGTGGGGAGGGGCTTGCTCTCTGGGGGAGGGGAGGGGCCTGCTCGCTTCAGCAAGAGGGAGACCCTGAGGTGCCTGGGTCCCAGCCTCAGGAAGAACATGGGGGGGGTCCCCAGAATCCATCTGTCTGGGGGTGGGGCAGGGAGAGACCCAGCCCAACAGAGCCCACCTTTTCTATGTGTGTGGCATGTGTGGGTGTGGGTGTGTGTGTAGGTACACACGCGGGGGTAAAGGATACAGGTACAGGGGACAAGGACAAAAGAGGAATGAGGGAGCAACCTCCACATTCCCCAGCTGCCAACTGCACCCGCACCCTCCTCTGTCCCACCAAGTGGCTGCTCCCCGATACAGCCCCGCCAACCCACGAAGCAAGCAGGGAAGTGGCCACCAGGCCTTTCTGGGATGTTCTGGGACTGGGGCTTCAATGCTCAGAAGGAAAGCAGCACCCCTTTCAGGTTTCACAGGGCCGCAGGGAACAGCCACGTGGCAGCAGCCGTGTGGCCCCGGCCTGTGCACACACAGATGCACACACATCACCCAGTTCTCAGTGGCTGGGCTCGTTCCCGCCACTGGGGCCAAACAGCGACAAGTCACACGTATGGTGGACAAACACACACAAAGCCACAGCCACCCGCAAACACACACACGGCTTCACACACAGCTACAGTCTGTTTTGGACGGACACACGGATACATATGGTACAAGCAGATCAGTCTTCCTGAGACATTCGTATACAATGAGCCTTTCCTACACACAGACCGGGCTTGCCTTAGGCAAGGACCCACTCTCACAGCCCTCAGATGCGCGGATTTCCTGAGACATATGCATACGTGAGGGCACGTGCATTCAACAGTGCGTTCTCCCTACACACCCAACTGCACACTGTTGCCGACCACAAGTCACAGTCTTGAGTGTACTCAAGTACAAACACAAACACCAGTTTCTCTGTGCAGACACGGTGACATGCTCTTACAGTCACACACAACTAGCATCAGCTACACATGCACAGATGCCCGTTTGCACCAAAACATTCCGCAGGAGCGTGCAGACACAGTATAAGTATCAACATCTAGAGGTTGTGTAAAGCCTCAGAGGTGCATCCTCCATGCACATCTCACACACACCCACACACCCACACACACGCTACAAGCACGATCTTTCTATGAGGTGAGTTTTCAAGTGGGGTGGAGGAAGAGTTGGGAGAGGGCACTGTCTGCTGAGAAAGCAAAGGTACTGGGGCAGCCTCGGCCAGAGGCTCAGGGAAGGAACAAGCCCCAGACCAGCTTCCTGTGGCCCTGACCCAGGCAGGAGCTGTCACAGGTCACGAGGCTAGGGGTGGGGCAGGGGCATGAAGATGATTCTGGGTGTGGCTGGGTGCAGCCTCCCCAGGTGCAGCCCTTGCCCAAGCAGCAGGCCACTTCCCGGCCAGCACAATGCCACCATCCCCAGCACTGAGCCCTTGGGGAGGGGGTGGCACGATGAAGGCATTTAGCCTCAGGAGCTTTGGTCAACACGTAAGTTGGGGACCCAGGAGGAGGAGAACATCGTGGGCACCCAGCCTGTGTCTGAGGGCCTCACTGGGCCGCCCTGGTGCTGGGAGCCTGCCACCTGCCCTAGTGAAGGGCCAGGGACACACAACTTTATGGAGCTGCCAGACCCCACAGCGACCCCAAGCCCCAAGTCACACAGAGCACCCCACCCTGTGAACAGGCATGCCAGTGAGACCAGAGAATCAAACAAATCTAGAGACAGGAGCAAGAAACCCACCGGCCCAAACTCCAGACCGAGGACGTTGAGGTGGTGGGAAAGGTCACGCTCCTGGGCTGGGCCAGCAGCGCGTGCAGGGGCAGGAGGACAGAGGGGCAGGGTGCGGGCGAGAAGGCACACCCTGGAACCCTGCCTGCAAAGAGAGGGAGGAAACTCCCGGTCACCTCGGAGTTGGTCCCCCTCTTCCGCCTGGGGTCCCTACCTCAGCCAACCAATCCAAGGGATCTGTCCCGTCTTCTCCCATCCTTCTCCTCCCCTGCGTGTCGGTGTGTGTACACGCGTGTACCAACCTGCACACTCCGGGTGGTCAGCCCAGGGAGAAAGGGGTCTTAGGCAGACCCTGCCATGGGACCTGGAGGGCCACCTCCCTCCCCCTGCCATGGCCCCGAGGGCCTCCAGTCTGGGATGGAGGAGAGGGGAGCATCCCAGAACAGAACACATTTTGGTTCTCATTCTTCCCCTCAGATCACGGAGATTTATAATTAAATAAACCTGAGAGGGAGGAGAAGGGAGGAAGAAGCACAGGACAGGAGCCCAAATGCCTCAGTGCTCATCCATAGCCCCCCATAGCCCCCACCCCAGTTGTGGCCCTGCCAGCAGCCAGAAGGACGGATGAACAGCTAGCTTTTGAGCCCTTCCCTGGGATCCCAGCCACAGCGGGTCTGACCAGGAGTCTGGGGGCGGAGAGGCAACAGGAGACCCGATGCCAGGGCCAGCCCTTGGGGCAGGGGGCCTCTCCCACCCCATCAGGTGCCCAGATGTATCCAGTCTCCCTCCCCCCACTCCCAGCTGCCCAATCCCGACAAACCAGTTTGACTCAGCACAACAGGCAGGGCTACAATTTTCAAACTCTGCAGGCCTGGTGATTCAGCCTCTTCATGCTGTTTAATTAGCGTAAGGCGGGTGGCGGAGGCCTTGCCCACAGCAGCTTTGGGTTAGCTTGCTGCTGCTGAGGCCGCAGTGGCCGTGGTGGCAGCAGTTCTGGTTAAAGGGAAGACAGCGACGGACAAACTGTTTCCCCCCAATCCCTGCTGCTGTCCCTTGTCGCAGCTCTGAGGTGCCAGCTGAAGACAAACAGGGGCGGGGCGGGGGGGCTGGAGAGCCAGAGGCCACTCGAACAAGTGAGGAAGCCATAGAGACCCCAGCCCGCTGTCCCCTCTTAGCTGCCACCTACTCGGTAGTCACTGCTGCTGCCTCTGAGAAAGAGATGGGTCACACACTGCCTCTCCCCCGCCAGGGCCTGCTTCCACTACAGCAGCAACTCAGCTACAGGGCTTGCCTGGGAGAAGGCTGTCCAGCCCCCCCCTTACATCTGGTAACTGTTTCTTTTTTCTCAAAAGAGTCTCTTCCCAGCAGGGACCTCCTCACCCCATCTGAGGTTAAAGGACCCTATGGTCCAGACATCCTTCCTATCCCACGCCTTGTTCCTGGTCCGCTCACCTACTGGACCCCACTCCCTGGTTCATGGTCCTGAAGGGGAGAATGGTCTTGGCTTGGGGGACTGGGGAACATTACCTGAAAGCAGAGTGAGCGACAAGGTGGCCCTGTTTCCCTGTGAGTGAGGGTAAAATCGAGGGCAATTTGTGTGTGTGTTTGGTGTGGTGTGTGTGTGTGTGTGTGTGTGTGTGTGCAGGTGGAAATCAGAGGGCAAGAAGAGAGGTGTTTCTTCAACCAAGGAGGATAAGCAAGGACCCTGGCTCCATCCTCATGGAAAACTGATGAGATATTTGGATGCAGAATCTTCATGAACCCCAAGTGTATAGGGAGGAAGAACAACCAGGTGCTTGACAGCATCTAATCAATGAGACCATGAGGGACAGCACCCACAGCTCAAGGACCCTGGGCCTAAATATAATGACCTCAGAGGCCAAGAGCCTAAAGGCTCCCTAAGGCCAAGGGCAAACCAAATCCTGGCAAAACCAAAGGGAAGGCTGGATGGAGCAACGGAGTGAGATCCTCCACCCATAAAGCTTGGGGGGCTGAAGAGAGCTTCAGTGCTGGGCGTCCCACCCAGCCCTGTCCTCTGGCCAGGACCCCCAGGTCCACCCATCCCGCCATTGGAGCTCCAGAATAGGGATGGGGTACAGGCAGGAGTCAAGGACAGCTGTCTCCTGACCCAGCTCTCTTCCCATCCCATCCTTTCCCTCCCAAAGCTGGAAAAAGATGGAGGTGGGGGGACAACTTCCTCCCCAGACGAACTTTTCCTCCTCCCATTATTGCGTCCTCTAAGCTCCCTCCAGCAGGGCAAGGGTACACACCAGTTTCACTTTCCGGTGCTCCCCAAGAAGCAGACCCTAGGGTAATAATAATAACAGTTAATCCTTGAATAACAATGGCTGTGCTAAGCACCTGACACACATTAAGGATTCAATCTTCATAACAGCCCTAGGAGATGGGTTCAACTACTATCCCATGTCACAGTGAGGGAGAGCAGGAGTGTGGTTAGGTAGACCACTGGGCTGGGGTCAGCACCCTGAGGCGTCATCTCTCTTTTCCCTTTCATTCTCACGCCAGCGGAAGACCCTAAGTTCTCATATATGGCAAAAGTGAAGGAACTCGTGAAAGCCACACTTGGGAGGCACTGCTACCTTCCTAGGGGCACCCCACACTGGCCTGGCCTCCCAGCCACCACCCACCCAGCCAGGGAATAGCCCCAGATCCCACTTCACAGCCTGAGGGAGGAGGGGACAGAGTAGGGGCAGTGGCCCCACTGTCCTCTCTTTCCTGGGCTGCTACAGCTCATCAGGCCTCTGCCTCCTGGTCAGCCCCTCGGGTCCTGGGCCTGGAGGCCTGGATGCCAGCTCCCAGCTAGGGCCTGCCAGCTGGGGTCTAGAGCGACCAGCAGATTGTGAGGGGTGAAAAGGAGGACGAAAGGAAGGGAAAGAGGAAGAAGGGAGGGAGGAAGGAAGGGGTGAGCCTTTTCAGGTACCCCTTGCTCACCTGACCCAAACCACGCCCCCACTCCACTCTCAGAATCAGCACCCACCACGCCCCACAACAAGGGCTCTGGGGCCTGGCACACACAGTCCTGTAAGTGTGTGTGCCTGTGTCGCCTCTCCTGGGCTAAGACACAGACCTGGGAACTCCAGCAGGCTCCCTGGCTCACACCCTTGAGGCAATCAACAACAAAGCCCCACACCGGTTTCTCACGCCTGTGATCCTATCACACACATGTGGGAGAGTGTGCACAAGCGTGGGCGTGACCTCGGTGTGTCTGTCTGGATTTGCATGCGTCCACCCGTGTGAATCAGTCTGTCAGCACCAATGGGCTCAGAGATAAAAGACGTTCAGAAGAATGTTTTTTTCCCCCTGGAGAAAATGAGAACGAACCAGAGAATGCCTTTCTCTCCGAACTCTGTTCTTTTTTCCTTCCAACCTTCAAGTTTACCGATTACGAACATATGAACAAACCAAGTCACATGGAATTCATGTGTTTGTTCTCAAACTAAGAAAGTGACCGGATTTGTTAAAGATACCAAATATAAGTACTGCCTATAATCCCAATTTCCCCCAAATTTCTGTGGTGTCCTTCCCTCCACCTTAAGGAAGGTTTTTTTCCCCTCATTTAATGGCTCCAAAAATTTGGGGAACTGTGCGTTTGTGTCTGCATCTGTTTGTATGTCTATTGTTTAACCAGTGTCAGTGCCTCTGTCCCCTCAGGTTTGTGTCAAGTGGATGTGTGTGAACTCTCCCACCGGGGCCAAAAACACTTGGGCTGTCCATCCAGCCACAGTCGTTTGGAAGTTAGAGCAGTCTCGGCAGGTTTCACAGAACCCATCGAGAGAAGCCCGGCCTTTTCCCACCGGCTAATGCGTAAGGCACCGGCTCCGGCACTACCTGGGACAAGCCCCGGAACCTCAGGGGTTCGGTGGAGACCCCAGCACACGGGATGTCCTGCTAGAAGGCAGAGGGGGTGCCGCAGAGCCGCGTGTAACGCCGGGTGAACACAGCACCTCGTGGATAGTTGGCGCTCGTAAACCGTAAACAATAACAGGCCCCTGCCTCTCCATCCCCGCAGTCATTCCCTGACAAAGCGGGGTGCACGCACTCACTCTCACTGATCACTCCAAGGGGTTCCGAACCAACGCCGCCCCTCAACCTGGGGAGTCCCGCTTCGCCTCCACCCTCCACAGCCCCGCATCAGCCTCAGAGCCCCCGCCTTGCCTGGTGGGTCGCCCACACTTCCTTGCCTCCAGAAGGTGCCCGGGGCCCCGCTCCTCTGCCCTGAGTGCGGGGTACTCCCTCAGAAGCTCACGGCCGGGCCATGACATTCGGGGACGCTCTTCCGAGTCGAGCAGCCCGCGATCCCGCAACTGGCGGACTGCCTGCCACAGAGGTAGCTAGAGCCTCCGAGGCGGCGCCGAGAGCGTCCTCCCCACCCCATCCTCCGGACCCTGGAAAGGGCGCGGGTGACCGAGCTTCCTCCGAAGTGCGCCCAGCCCTCATCGGACCAACACCGCAGACCCTCCCCGGCCCACGCTCGGGCGACCCCGGACACCTTAACCCTTGGACGCGCCCCCCGACGCCGCTCACCTTCCAGCGCCCGGCAGCCGGAGGGCAGCAGCAGGGGCAGCAGCAGCAGCGGAGAGAGCAGCGGCAGGAGCCCCGGCGGCGGCGGCGGCGGGCGGGCTCGGGCCATGGCCGGGGCGGGCTCCGGGAGCCGAGCCGAGCCGAGCCGCGCCGGGCCGCGCCGGCGGGGCTGCGGGCACCCGCGGGAGGGTCCGCTCGGCGGGCTCCGAAGAAGGCTCGCGCACGGTGGTCCTACGAGATCCAGGCAAGGAGAGGGTGCAATCCAGGCAGGCGGCTCCGGGACCGAGGCGGCGCCCTGAGCCGGGCGATGCTGAGGGATGCGGGCAGGTCGGTCCCAGGGGAATCTGGACGGACCGGTCCTGGAGGATCCGGGGCGCTTGGAGAGCTCGGAACCAGTGGACTCGGGGGGGCGGGCCGCGGAGGGAGTGCGCAAGTGGTGGTAGTTCGGTGTGCACAGTAATCCAGAGGTCTGCTGCGGGTCCGACTCGGATCGGGGACTCCGGGTGCGCGCGCCGTCCGGGGTGCGATCTGGGCTCTTGCTGCGCCGCTCACGTACTCACTTCTGCTGTCCCCAGCGCTGGCGCGGCCGCTCGGGGCGAGAGGGGTGGGGCCGGCCGCCTGCCTGTCATCTCTGAGGCCCCACCCTTAGCCATTCTCCACCCACTCACAGACCGCCAGGCGCGCTGGTTCGGCCTCGAGAGCACTCTGCCGGAGTTCAGTTGGCGGCGGCTCCATCACGCCCACCCTCGTTCTCTGAGGACTGGGGTGGGCGGGGCCAAGGAAAAGATGAATCAGATTGGGCGGAGCGATACTGTCCGTCAGAGGGAGAAGCCCGCCTCCTGTCCCCCATTGGCGATTAGTAACCGAACCTGAGTCCGGCGAGGTGCCATCCACGTACAACGAGCCGGGGGCGCCCCCGTGTGGTCTGTACGTGCCCGGGGCCGCCGCCATGTGGCTGTGTTTCCAGGCACGTCCTGACACTAACGAAACTCGGCTTAGGCAATACCAGGTGGGCGTCCTCCGCGACACATCCTGCAACGAGGGCCTTCTCGCTTGTTTATTTATTCATTCATTCATTCAGCTGTGTATTTCATCATTCTTTGAGCCAAAGACTCTAGGAACTTCTGGCGATACAGCAATGGATAAGACAGAGGTTCGTGTTCTCTTGGAGCTAGTTTAGCGATGGAAGCAGGCATGAAGTTATCACAGCAGAGTGTAACTTATTATTATGGAGGAAGGACAGAGTTGCTGGAGCACATGTGAGAGGGACGGCTATGTCTGGCCCTGAGGAAATGACATTCAAGCTGAAATGTGAAAGATGAGTAGCAGGTGAAGGATGTGTGTTTGGCGGGGGCAGTTTCAGGCAGAGCAAACACTCTTTGTGTGAAGTCCCAGGGGCAAGAGAAACATTTATCGGAGGAAGCCGAAAGAAGTTCAGAATATCTTAAGTGTAGAGTTGGAGGCTGAGGGGGGCCAAAAGGAAGCTTGGAAATCGGTGTGGGGGACCAGAGGAATTTTTTTTTAGATTCATAAGGCCTTCCTGGGGTAAGGGGGGAAGGTTGGGATTGACATATGCACACTACTATATATGAAATAGATAATAAGGACCTACTGTATAGCATAGGGAACTCTACTCAATACTCTGTAATTGCCTACATAGGAAAAGGATCTTAAAAAGAGTGGATATATGTATATGTATAACAGATTCACTTTGCTGTACAGCAGAAACTAACACAACATTGTAAATCAACTATACTCCAATAAAAATTAAAAATAAAAAAGCCCTCCCTGAGAGCTAGGGTTTGAAGCAGAGCCATTACTTTATCAGATTAACATGGCTTCTCTGGGAAAGAAGAATGGGAGGAGGAAAGGGTGGAAACAGGGAGATCAGAGAGGAAGCTGTGCAGTGGTCAGGCAGAGGAAGATGGTGACTTGGACTAGGGTGGTGGCTGTGGGGATGGAGAGAAGTGGGCAGGTCTAAGATATTTTAGGAGGGCTTCCCTGGTGGCGCAGTGGTTGAGAGTCCGCCTGCCGATGCAGGGGACACGGGTTCGTGCCCCGGTCTGGGAAGATCCCACATGCTGCAGAGCGGCTGGGCCTGTGAGCCATGGCCGCTGGGCCTGCGTGTCCGGAGCCTGTGCTCCGCAACGGGAGAGGCCACAACAGTGAGAGGCCCGCGTAACACACACACACAAAAAAAAGAAAATAAGATATTTTAGGAGGGCTTCCCTAGTGGCGCAGTGGCTAAGAATCCACCTACAAATGCAGGGGACACAGGTTCGAGCCCTGGTCCAGGAAGATCCTACGTGCCGCGGAGCAACTAAGCCCGTGCGCCACAACTACTGAGCTCACGTGCCACAACTACTGAAGCCTGCGCACCTAGAGCCTGTGCTCTGCAACAAGAGAAGCCACCACAATGAGAAGCCCACACACCACAACAAACAGTAGCCCCCGCTCACGGCAACTAGAGAAAGCCTGTGTGCGGCAACAAAGACCCTTCGCAGCCAAAAATAAATAAATAAATTTATTTTTTTTAAAAACATATTTTAGGAGGTAGAGTCACAGGATTTGTGATTGGGTGGTTGAGAGGTATGGGGCAGATAGAGACATCAAGAAGAACTCCCAGGTTTCTGGATTGGGCAAATGGACTTGTACCCCATTTGCTCAACAAACATTTGCAAAGTGCAATAAACACTCTGAAAAAAAGTCTTGTTTATTAAGAAGTAGAAGTTATTATAGCCTCATTTTACAAACAAAACTGACATCTAGAAAGGCTTAGTGACTTGCCTCAAGTCACAGTGCTTATAAGTGGCAGGGTGGGATTTGAATCAACGATTGTATAGCTTTTAGACTCACTCATTCTACTTAATCAGAGACCTAAGGATCACCTAGATTCTTGTTAAAAACTAAGAAGTCTGAGCCACCCACCCATCTTGGATGTTGGGACTCAGAATCTCTGGGGTATGGGGCCCAGGATTCTGCATTTCAAATAAGCATTCCAGGTGATTCTGATGCACATTGAAGTTCAAGAGTCATTATCACCATGCAGCCTCTTACTGTCCTAACTGGAGAAACATCGCTCCATGGTCCCTCTGAACCTTCCCCAGCTACCCTAAGATTTCTGAGGACAGAGAGTGTGAGAGATCAGATTCTAGGTGGCCTTGGAAGCAAGATGGTCACTCTTAATCCTCTGACCATGAAGTACCCTAGATGTGGTGCTAAAAGCTCCATTAGTGTAAATGAGGTCATGGATCCATTGCTTAAAGACATTGCTGCTCTAGAGAGCTCAATCCTCCTGGCCAGAGGTATGCATGGGTACCTGGGGCTGGGGTGGGGGTGGGGGGAGGAGGATGCCATGAGATTCCCAGATTCCACACCCCCACCCCCACCCCCATCCCCAGGAACTTCTGCCTTCGATCTCTTCTTAAGCCCTAGAGACTCCCAGCAACATCATTCAAGGTTCTAGACCACAAAAGGGATCTTGGAGATCATCTTGTGCAACTCCCGCATTGTAGAGCTAGAAAGCCTGAGGCTCAAGAGATAGGTCAGCTTGCCCTAGAGGCCCCTCTGCCCTGGGGCGCTGGTTGCAGCAGGGCAGGGTAATATTTCGGCAGGTGGCCTCGCAGTAGCAACACCTCCCAGCGGAAGCCCTGCTCGTTGTAAGGCAGATCCGTGAGGCCGACACTCCTGTTTGCCCAGCATCTGTGCCAGGGTAGGCCTCGCCCTGGACAAACACAGCCTGTCTGGCAGCAGGCACAGTCTCCTTTGTTCTTGGGCCTGATAGCAGAGGCAGCCAGGCCAGCAGGTAACAGAGGGCCCGTCCTCACCGGATGTTGGCAGCATGGTTCCCACGGGAATGGTTCCTGATCAAGAGGCCGACAGGCTGGAGGGCACCTGAGTACTGGCTACAACAGCCTGGGGCAGGAAGTTGACCACCTGGCAACAGAACAGACATGAAAGGAGGGTAGGTGGAGGGATAGGAACTAAAAGCCAGGCCAGATAAGGAGAGCTGGGACACCTCCATCTCTCCAGGCCTGCATGGGCAGAAGGTCCTAACCCTCTTATCTTTCCAGGCTGACGAGGTACCAAGGAACCCAGGGAGTGGGCCACAACCTTTGATCCGGAATGAAGGAAAAACGTCCAGACTGAGGTCAAGATGCCTCTCTCTGTGCCCATCATTCTTTGTCCATTTGTTTCTAGGAGGAACCTGAATATAGAAGCAAGACCTTGGGCTTTGGCATCAGAGGGACCTGAGTCCAAATCCTAGCTCAGTCATTTACCAGCTGGGGAACTCATGATAAGAAGCTGAACCTTTCTGAGTCCAAGTATCTACAGGAATGAAGGTGGGACAATAATCATACCTCCCTTGCAGGGCTATTATGATGCTCTGGCCAAAGGGTCAGGAGCACTGCAGGTGCCTAATAAATGCAGGTGCCTTATAGCAATTAACACTCAGGCCCCAGAACCAATCTTGAAACACGATCAGTTTAGGGATAATTAGAAGAATGTGTGTGAATTGAATTGGGGCTTAATACTCCTGTGGCTGTGACCAACTCCAGATTCTCTTTGAAAAAGATAATAAATATGTGTCCCTGGGTTTGCGGTTTGGGGATAGTGGCAAGAAAGACAAAACTGGGAGAAGAGGGCTTTGGGGCAGTAAGTGATGGAGGGATGAGTGCTCTTTGGGCTTCAGTTAAGAACTAGGGTGGTGGCAGGGAGACCAGTGAGGAGGGCACAGGCAAGATGTGATGGTGACAGGGCTGGGGTCATAGCACAGTGGTCTGAGCAATGGGGTGGCTGGTCATTTATGGGAAGAGAAGTAAAAACTTGGGGAGGAGCAATTTGGTTGGGGGAGAGGGGAAATAGGGACTGAGGGTGTCATTTTGGACTGGCTAGGATCGGGAGGCCTGTCAGCATGGAGCAGATGGCTGGCTTCACCACTCCCACCTCCTCCACTGACCCTCTCCATTGCCATCTAAGCAGCCTCAGTTCTGCTCTCTCTCTGTCCCTTGGAGGCACCACCTCAGGACCTTGGCACTGGCTGTTCCCTCTGTCTGGATCTCTTCTTCCAGCTCTTACAGAGCTGCCTCTCAGAATTTAGGTCTCCGCTTAAATGTCAGCTCCCTGACCACTTTGATCTCCTCCCTCCTCCCCCACACCATCACTGTCTATCCCATTGCACTATTTTATTTTCCTTATACTACTTAGCACTAGTTGAGATTATATTAGTTAGCCATTTGTTTACACGTGCATCGTCTGTCTCCCCTTCTAAAACGTTAGCTTCCTGAGAAGGAGGGCTTGTCTTATTTCCCACTAAATCTGCAGTGTAAGGACCACTGCCCTGCATGAAGTAGCAATTTACTAAATGAATCAGTAAGTACAGCAAATATGTGCGATTCCTGCTGCCACGTCCTCTTCCCAAGCCTATGGCAGACGTTGTTCATCAATTATGGGCTCTTTCCTCAACGTGATGCTGCAGACAGCCCTTGTCAATCTCAGAGTTGGCATAGAAGTTCCACCTACCTGCCATCACTGTAGTGGACAAAGGCCCTCTGCTGGCTACCGTGTGACCTTGCATGAGTCTTTTACAGTTCCTTGGGCTTCAGTTTCCTCATCTGATGTCTCATCCAAGAGGTAGG